TTAAAAGGCAGGTTTCTTTTTCCTGTGTGATCTTCATAATATTGGTACTAGCTGTTACAAGATTTTCTTGCATTTTTATCTCCATTCAAGCTGGATCTAATTTATTTTGGGTCCCCCTTAGGCCCGGGATTCAATGTTGAATGAGAAGATTCATAAAAGTTTTTCTCGAAGACCTTGTTCTTCAGGCCATCTTTCAGAAAATCAAGATCTCTCCTTCCTATTGATATCTGAAGAGCACTTGCCTTCTACATGAACCAGATGATGTTATTTCAGAGTCCAACATTTGTGCCTTCCAGAGAATTTAATCTTTCTTCACAATGTTCTCCCAAATAGACAGTAGTTAACAATGACATTTTGTTATTAGTTGGTCAAACAGGATTAACCTCATAGATTTACTCTATGAAACTGATGGCAGCACCTGCAGTTTTAGCAAAAATCCTTGAGATTCCCATGAACTGAGATTCCAGCAGAGTTTCAAGATCAGTACTTTTGCTACCTTTCCATGTTGCACTACACTGTGATTTACGCAGAGTATTGAGAGAATAATAAACATTAATGGTTTAACATCACTGTTGGCCATATGCCACAGCTGAGTGGTCGTAGTTCAAGAAGACAGATCACTAACCCTTGAGAGTAATCTACTGCATTTTACATGGCATTGTTCATCCAGAAGGGTACCAAAGTGTTATGCAAGTGAATATATATTCATTAGTCTTGGCAATAGTAAATGCTGTAATTTATATTACATTACAGGTATCTATTATAAATCCCTTTATTCATTTCCTGATACTTTTGTTCTTTGGGTCCCAGGCTTTTTTCGTGTTTAACTTCTACTGACTATCGGCATCAGTGTTTTTTCTTTCAGTCCCATACTTTTCTATTTCACTGTCCTATGTCTGTTTTACAGAGTCCCATAATAGTGCCATACCATGGGAATATCCTCTGAGCATTAGATAGATACTGTAGAGCATTAGTTGAGAAAATGATATATTGTATTTTTAAAAATAGCAGGTTATTTTTTTAGCTACAGTCTCTTTGAATAAATCTGAGTATAATTATATATAATAGTTCATGGTTATAAATAGTCTTACACATGGCTATTTTTCCCCACAACCCTGTAGCATTTAAAATCCTTTCCCAGCCCTTTTGATCTTCAGAATAATTCTAGATGAACAGAAAAGAGATGGCAACAATTCAAAAGGAGCAGTATCGTAAGGACCTTTCTTATCAAAACAAAGTTTGATAAGTTGTCCTTATTGTCTTATAACTGACCACTCCAAAAAGTTTCATTTCATATCACTGAATTTATGCAGCCCCTTTTCTTCTAAATATGGTCTTGCTCTTCTGTTCTTCTTGCAACGCTGGTTGTTTTTCTGCTAGTTAGAGCCATTCATACTTCCCATTAAAAATGTGATGGTTCAAGTACTCATTTTAAGAATAGTGAAGGGAATATTGACACTTTTACTTTATTACGTTCTTAAGATACCAGGCAGTTCATCAAGAATGCACAAAAGGATATAAGAAAAAGAACATGAATCATCCAAGTTTTCTCATTTCTGTTTAAAGAAGTTCCAATACTGTTGTATTTTCTTGACTTTTTTCATCTCTTCTCTTAACCACCCACCACCTATGCAAATTTCAATCACTTTCTTACAAATTATGTTCCTATTGTGGTGATTCATGGTTAGTTTTCAATAAGTAATGAGGCTACTTTATTTAAACAAATCATTGTTGAAATTAGCTAGCATTTTAGATCCATATAATAATTTGACTGATTATGTATTTTCAAGTTGGTGTAAATGCTTAGAACTGCATAACCAGAGCCAGGATGATTTATCCCCAGTCTGGCCCTTCATTTTCTGGTGGTAGCCACATTGCTTCTAAAATCTAGTTTGTTTTACTTGCTACTAGTTGTCCTTCCCTTTGTTTTCCTTTCATTTTTCCCAGCATTACAGACTTCTCAAATCAGTTATGTCTTAATATTAATACCACATAACACAAGGCTACAAAAATCTGGGCCTATATAATATTTAAGACTGTACCATAAATGGTCAAGACAATTTAAAAAACTGATCTCTTTGCTGTGCTGAAGGAATATGTATATCTGTTCAAGTAAACCAGCCATTATCTTATAAAGTAATACTGCCTGCTCCCTGTCATCACATAGTACAGTGCTGGTTAACCTTTTTGTCGTCACACGCCGAAAATGTGTACATGTATTCACATGTGCCTGCACCCATAATGCAATGCCCGCATGACCCCTGTGTGACCCCCACCCCTTGCTCATGCGTGTAACCCTCCCACTCCCCCACTTTCCTGCGCATGTGCAAGGGATCCCCTGTGTTCCCCCATCCCCCTGCTCATGCGCACACATCTCCTGCATGCGCCCCCCATGCATGCGCAGTCTAATTATCTACCCAAAAATCAGCTGGTTGGTGGGAGGCATGTGCACATGCGCAGTGGAATTAAGCTGGGGCGACGGCTCGCATGCCTGCAGAGATGGCTCTGCGTGCCACTTCCAGAACATGTGCATTAGATTCACCATCATGGGCATAGTATATTGAAACCATAATTGATTGTTTTGGGATGTTCCTTTGAATATCTCCTCCAAAGTGTTTTTTTTCTTTTTTTTTTTACAGTCTAATTTTTGGGATTCCAAGTAGCATTATTCCTATCTCACCTTTGCATATGGCTGTTTCCACTGGATAAGGCACTTATAGATTAAGGTTGTAGTTTGTCTAGAAGTAATTTTTTTTTAAAATCATTTTCATCCTTGCTTTTACTTTTTAAAAAATATTGGTTTCACTTGGATTCTTTTGTAATTCTAACACTAAGCCATATAATATATGGATTTAAGAAGCTTATTTTTATGCAGTGCTGGAGTGTATGAAAACTGATAAGAGCATCTGACTAACTAATGAAAGGATTAACACTGTGAATTCTATATGGTGCATTCCTGACATGCTTACTACATCCCCCATTACTACAGTGAAAGATTGAAGATAGCAGAACTAAAAAAAAAAAAAGATTTTGCTATCGACTGGTACAGAGAAGAGGTCAGTTGGTGGTATGTAACTATTAAGCTGCATTACACTTTTTGTTTGTCAGAACCAACCTTCACCCCAGAACTGTATGAATTGGTTGGTTGATAGAGCACTACTATGTTTGGCATCTTGAGTTGCACTTGGAGAAAAAAAAAAAAGAGCAGGATAAAAATCTAAAAAATCAAAACAAAAAATACCTTGTGCGGTAAGAAACTACAGGTAGACCTTGACTTACGACTACAATTGAGACCCAAATTTCTGCTGCTAAGTGAGTCATTTGTTAAGTGAGTTTTGCTCCATTTTACAATCTTTTTTGCCACACTTGTTAAGTGAACCACTGCAGTTGTTAAGTTTGTAACAAAGTTGTTAAGTAAATCTGGCTTCCCCTTTGATTTTGCTTGTCAAAAGCTCGCAAAATGTTGCAGCAGCTGTCATAAATATGAGTTAGTTGCCAAGCGTCTGAGTTTTGATCATGTGACCATGGGAGCGCTACAATGGTTGTAAGTATGAAAAATGGTCATAAGTCACTTTTTAAAAGTTCTGTTGTAACCTCAAGCAGTCACTAAATGAACTGTTGTAAGTCAAGGATTATCTGTACATGATTTTTTTAAGGTTGAAAATGCGGAGAAGTTTTAAGAGGGCAGAAAGAAATTTCAGTTTCAACATTTTTGTAAATCTCTTTTCATGATTTCAAAAGGGGATGTTTTTCTGCATAGTAGTATGGCAATTGCAACTGTAATTAATTCATAAGTAAGGATTTTGAAATAAAACTAGGTTTGCAAGAATTCTGTAGGCAGTAATCTGCAGGACTTATTTATGAGTAGAAATGTACAAGATAAGCTATCGATGGAGACTCATTCAAAGAATAAAGTGATTGCTTTGATGAAAACAATATATCTTTCTTCTATTTGTCTTATGTACTTTTCCATAGAATTTCCATTTGAACTCACACAAGTACATGTGCAAATACTTTTCTCTTAAACTAATACATTAAAGATCTTAACTACAGATTTGAAATTGTAGAAAGTATTCACACTCACATTCTCATGCCGTACAACAATTTTATGCAATGATTCAGTGAAAATAACATGGGCTTTCTTAATATTGTATTTATTGGTTTGACACTGACCTTTTAAAAGAGCCATAAATATATACTAGTTGATTTGACTAAAAGCATAACAATGTTTCATTTTTTATTTACTATTAGATTAAATGAATGGTAGCCTAAAATCTCTTTGTGTAGAAAAATTCATACCTTACTTGCTGGTCAGGTAAATAAAGCATCTGCACACCAAATATTACTTTTTCTAAATACAGCTGAGTAAATAATTAGATCATATTTATCCTACATCTAATTAGACCACTTGTATAGCATGTGCGTTTTTCTACATCTATGTTCAGATTTTTGAAGAACATATATTCAAACAACCAAGAACAGCCAAGGTAAAAAAGTAGGTGGGATCAGGATAATGACCACATTTGGTTTATTTTAAATAAAAATGTAAGGTGATTTAAATTTAATTTTTCACATATAATTAGTAAGATTACTCCTCATGCATTCACTAACTTAATTCACAGCAATTAATTTGAATGGCAACTTTTCAAGGACTTGGAGGGAATGAAGGCAATTGTGCTGCTAAGCAGTATCAATGTCACTTGCAGTTGGAATATTTCTGTCCATCACTGAACTTGTCTGGAGCTGCAGGAATGAAGTGCAATAGCACTTTATGTAGAAATTAATGGCATTTTTGTTGTTGTTTGTTCTGCTAGGTTTCAAGGGGTCCTCAGTTTCAGTCTTTTGATTTGGTTCCTATTCTGGATTCCTAGTTCTGGATTTTTAGTTCTGTTCTCAACTATTAAGGAGTTTTCTCAAAATAATTGGAAACAGATGAGTCCTGATTTTTTCTTTGTTATGTTTGCTATGACATATTTTATAATCTGTTATTTTAAATGCAGGTGAACCCAGAAAATTTGATCCAAAGTTCAGCGGACCTATTCACAACAGGTAAATGTTTTATTTTGATATATCAAATTGTGTTTTTTTATGTATGAATATAAAAGAGGGTATATGCACTTAATTGATTTGGGAAGGAAAACTTTTTTTTCTAAGAATTCTTAGCAGCACTCATTTCCCTCTCTCACTGAGGGAGGAAAAACATACTTAAGAGAATCAGGAATAATTATGTCCCCCCACCCTCCCAATACTCTTAAAAAGTAATGTTTTTATTAAGACCTGCTTACCCTCAGCTTTTATTGTGTGAATTTTGGAAAATTTTCTTGCCCCTGTTACACAGGCTTAAGAGATGTTAATTACAACTGTTTTCCTGATGAGAAGATTTTGAAAATCTGTAACTGGAGCACAGAGAATTCTGGTAGTAAGTATATTGACACCAGAATTAAAATTATTGCAGTTGTTGTTGATCTGTTTCATCTAATTAACTTCCTCACAATAGACTAGGATCCTAGGATTAATTTTTGGCCTGGTATTTATGGATTGCTCTATTAGCAACACCAGCTATTTTTCTCTCTTCTGGTACAATCGAAGGAAACATACAGATCTACCAATTTCATATCTGAATCTTTTCAAGTGAATGCCATTTTGAATGCCTGATATATTATATTGTACTTCTAAATAAAGCCTAACATTTATTCTCTTATTAGAATTAATTGCTGCAGTTCTCCAGTCTCACTCTCTTAAAAAGCTAGTTCAGTCATGCAACAAAATAAAAATAGTTCTCTCACCTCTTTGTAATTTCTTGATCCTTCTTTAAGAAATCTTAAATTTTAAAGTCATTTATATAACCTACTTATACTCTTTGCTATTTTAAAGATTATTTATATTAATTATTGGTCCCTATAATTTTTAGCAGAAGAATGCTTGTGACCTGTTATATTTGTTTTATGCATTTTAATAAGACTTGCATTTTTTCAATGGAATTCCATTGGACTTGTACCTTTTCTGATTTATAAGTAAGCTTCTGTTATTGCTGTAAGACCTTTGGCACTCTTGTCTTTCCCTTTTAAGCATTTTTTAAACCAAATTTCAGAATATTTGATCAAGAACAGGCAACTTGTCTAGGCTAGTGGGCACCCCTAAAACTTTAAGAGCCTATCAAAGGCATTCTCAAATGAGTGTGATGGTGCAGTGGTTAGAATGCAGTACTGCAGGCTAATTTTTTGCTGACTGCCAGGAGTTTCATTCCGACCAGCTCAAGGTTGACTCAGCCTTCCATCCTTCTGAGGTTGGCAAAATAAGGACCCAGATTGTTGGGAGCGGGCATATGCTGACTCTGTAACCTGCTTTAAAAGTGGTGTAAAGAAGGGATCCCCAGCCCCAGCCCCTGGTCCACTACTGGGCTGTGGCCTGTTTGAAATCAGGTTGCTTAAGAGGCAGGCTGACATGCATGAATGCACAGCTCAAGTCATGCAAGTGATGGGCCAGTGTGCATGCGCAGGCAGTTCTGCTTGCATTTGAGCTGCACGTTCATGTGCACATTGGCCACTGCTTGTGTGGCCTGGTTCTTCTCTTACCCCCAGCTGAGCTGCCAAGCCACAAGGGTTGGGGACTACTGCTGTGAAGTACTATGAAGTGGTATATAATTCTAAGTGCTATTGTTATTGTTCATTGACTTTCTGCCATTTAAAAGACAGAATTTATTCTGTGCCAGCTTTTTTAAGTTCCAAGAATGTCATTCTTCCAAACCAACCCCACTGACTTATCCATTATTTCATTTTCTAAGAATGCTATAATTCCCCTGTTAGCTCAATCACATAAGGACAATAGTTGAGACTGGAGACTTTTACTTTACTCGTAGCATGCCTAATTCAAATTTATTTATGTATTTATTTGTTTATTTGTATTGAAAGAATCAAAGCCATTCTGAGCAAGTCAGGTTACCACATGTAAACACTTAGTTGGTGGAATGTGGGCAATAATACACTGTATTCCAAAGTAGTGTGTAGATTGCAAATCATTTTATATCATTAGGATGAACACTTGGGACAAAATCTGGTTTTTGTTGCACTTATGACATATTTGCCAAACTAAGCACTACAGACATTACACATTTATAGACAATATTGCATGTGGCATGAGTATGACCCAGAGCGCTGAGTAGTCTATACCTTCACTTTACTAGAAAATTTGATGTCAAAGCTTCAGTTGTCCAAAGCTATGATGTTAATAGCTTTGGGTCCATCTGAACACATAATAAATTCATGGAAGATAATGATTTGGAATGTAAGACAAGTAAATGGTAAAGAGAAAGAAAGAAAGAAAGAAAGAAAGAAAGAAAGAAAGAAAGAAAGAAAGAAAGAAAGAAAGA